CGGACCCTGTGCACGCGGGCTCGCGTGCGCACAACAGAGTAATTTGTAGCGTTTCAAGTTGCGCCGCGGCTGAGTGTGCGTGAAACATCGATCGTTTTCATTCAAATCGCTTTGCGGAATAAATTCCCTGGTAAACGGTCTCGGGGCCGACGCGTACGCTCCGTCCGTTCTCGACGGCCGGCTGGCCGCCGCGCCGCTTGTTTATCAGCGGAAGATTAACGGCGGCGAATGCTCGCGAACGGGGGAACGGATCTCGGGGCTGGAACCGCGGCTTCGAAGTTTCTCTCGAATCGCCGGATTCCGTTTCTTCCGGCAATCCGATTACTCGGCAGCTCGGAAGTTAAACGAAGCTGTGAAAAACGTTAACGTTAGTTGCTTTATCCGAGGCGACTGGGAACGGAGGTTTCCTTCAGAAGTCTTTAACAGTAGATTTACGGACGTTTATTTTAAACTTTATTCTATTGTTACAAGAAAACTACGTGTTCGTCTATATAAATCGCGAGAATTATAACTTCAAAACCAGACTATTGCAATGCGTATTCGTATAATTGCACAAATCAAAATCGACTTAAACTGATACTAAATAAATAATTAGAAAATGAAATATCCGTCAAATTGACAGGTTCCGTAAACTAGTGTTAAGTAAACAGTTCACATCTTCCAATGAGTTGTAGGCGACATTTGAGACGAATTGTACGATAGAACATGTATGAGTTAAGGAAGTTATTGTTCTTATACTTCACATGTTTGTCGATTATACGGATTTAAATGTTGTGTGTAAGGCTTTATAACGAAAGTCACCTCTCGAGTGTAAAGGGTTGATATTGGATTGTTATCTGTAGTTTAAACAATTCTGGATATAATACTTATTAAGGTTTCCTTCGTTTCAGGTTTAATATTGAGTTATTATCAATAGTTCAAACAGTTCTAGCTATGATACTCATTAAATTATTATATTCAGTTGAATATTAATATCAACTCTTTAAACTTAAGTCTTTCAAGTTCTCAACAGTTACCAATGAGTTATAGACGACGTTCTTTCAAACGAACTGAAGAGAACAATAAGAAACAGAGTTATTCGAATATTTTACACATTCGTGGATTATACGAAGCTTAATATTGTGCATAAAACTTTATAATTCTGGTGTATCAAATCGAACGGTGACTGAGAGTCACCTCTCCAGTGCAAACGGTGAAATATTGAACTTTATTTTTCCTGTGTCGAGTGGAGTGGTGGTTGAGAGTCACCTCTCGAGTACAAAGGGTTAATAGCAAGGTAGCGCTGATTACGTTTGTATATCAAAATAGAAGCTGTATCGTGGTCGCCTTATGTTTGTGGAATATTTCCGTAAGGCACGAGAGAAATTTCGTACGCGATAACGCGACCGCGAGTGGTTCGGAGCTTTTAAAAGCCTTCTGGTAACGATTAAGCGCTGCATGGAGCACAAGACCGTCCCTCAAGGACGCGTCCGAAGCAGTAATCCGAGGGAAGCATGGAAGGAAAAAAGAAGTTGGATAATAAAATGGATCCTCCGGGTCGTTAATACCCGATGGGATATCATTGGGCGCGTATGCAACGTTCTCTCCTCCATTTTTCCTCTGTTGCAGCCTGGCTTTCCGTTGGAAACTGGTCGCGAGATTAAGGATAACGCTCGCCTCCAGTCCGCGTTTTCATTTGCGGAGCACGCTTTTCCGTGGCCAAGTATCAAGTCAGCCTCCTTCCCTCTGTCGCTAACGAATCCCTTTCTATTTTCTTCGACAAATGGATCATGACGATTGGATTGCGGATGTCGAACGAATGTCTTCCTAAAGGTTTCCTTAAAGACCCAAATCAATTACTCGCGCGTTGGGCGTACGAACTTGTCGCTCTCTCACGCTCAGAGCAACAAACAAGACAACTCACTATCCCCATTTTCTAGAATCTCCAGAAACGTCTCCCTCCAACAAGATTGAAGATGTCCCGCCGCAAACTTTACATTTCATCAATTTCCCACACGGATAAAATCAAAGAGAATCAAGACTAGAAATCCCAAGATCAAGAAGCCTACAGAAAGCGGATTAACTTCAACGAACGAGATAGCGAGCACATCGAAAAAGATCCACGGAACATAGATTCCATCAATCGTCATCTCCAACCCCCTAAGAGGAGCGTCTCAACCCCGATCACGAACCGTCCGCACGCAAGCTCGACGAATCATCCGGTTGGCAAACACCGTTCCATAAACTCCCACGCGGAAGTAT